CTCAGCATTGGCACGATGCTCTGACACTGTTGAATTTTTAAAACGTACGGGCTGTGGTACCTCCAAAATGATGTAGTCCTTTGGGAGACTGCAGAAGGGTGAAGAGGTGCAGAGAAAGTGGTGAGGGCTCTTGGAATAAAGAAGCGTGAAATATTTAAGAATGTTGTAGCTTACTGGCAATTCTTGACAGGTCCTAGGAATGTACACAAAATTTTGAACATGTTTTTGATGGATGATCATTAATGAGTTCTGGGCAGTTCGACTTTCCCTGACACCAGTGAACATCTGTGTTACATTTGAGACCCAACATCATTCACCCTTCTTCTGGTTCTTATACCTTGGGAAGTGCCATTTTCTGGCCCACTCACAGTCTAAGTGAGTCACAAGGAGCTAATTCATTTCCTCCTCCAGAAGTTATCATGTGACTCAGCCCTGGCCAATCGGAACACTGCTTTCTCAGGCCATAGTGATTGATTCAGAAATGGACGTGACACATGAGGGCCAGCAGCCCACCATGAGGCTATTTCTGGGAGCTACCTGGAACAGACACTCACTCCTTCTTGCTCTACTTGAATCTAAAGGGGTGTTGCCTCTGTGCAGAAAGAGCTTGTCTGGTGATCGGATAAACAGAGGAAAAGCAGAAAAGAGGCCACCAGAGAAAATCCATGTCCCGATGACATTGGTTAAGTCCCTGTATTTAATCTACCTACTGCATTTTTTAGTGACATGAGACAGTACATTCTTTTTGAGCTTAAGCCAATTTTCTGTTGTATTTCATCATAAACCCTAACAGTCCTGGTGCAGAAATACTCTTAAAACTCAGGTTTTAAAATTACTTTTAATTATCATGATTTTGCCTAATATAAAGAGGGCATTTAAAGCCATTTCTGTAATCTCCTTTCAAAACTATTAATTTTCCTCCTAAGGAAACAAGGTGTTAGATTGACTGGGAAGCATTTTGTTCTAGTCTTGATAAGCAAATTGTAATGAACTCTGTGTAGATTTTCACTAAGCATCTCGAGTACAGCAAGAAGTAGTGGGTGGGCCTCTGAAGTTTTTGATATTGTGACGGATTAAAGAATAAAAGAAGATTTAAAAACTTTCCAGCAAAATTAAAACTCAAGGAAGAACAATTTGGAAGAAAACAAATGCTCAGTATTTTTATCTGTAGCTGTCACTACCAACATATCTTACTTGAAAAACTTTGCCGTCTTTTACACAGTGTATCTTTAGGGATCTTTTATGTATTTTTCTGTAAATTGGTTAAATAATTTAAATTTTAAAGCTTTCTTCAATGTTATAATGATTTATCTAATAATGAACATTAGTAGGCTGAATGTTAATAGTATTTTAATTCCTACTTTATTTTTAGTAACAGTCTTTTCTTCTGGGGATTTCATTTTTGGGCTTAGAAAACTCCATTTACATCTTTGGGACTGCTATCCTGTATTTATTAGCTTGGCTGGTTTGGTATATCCCAGGAAATAAATAACATCCAGAAAGAAGAAATTATGCACTTCTGGATCCACATGGTATGAATTAGAATGTTGCTATTATTCCTGAAATAGAAGGCAATTCTATTTTTCATTACCCAGGAGATTTGTAGAAAGCCAAGTGAACCAACCAATGCCTAGTGTGTCCACTTGAGTTTAAGCATAACTTAGCACCATAAACTTGAGAAGATAATACATGTTAGGAGTTGATGTAAGGGAAACTGTGTCAAACTATGAGGGGCCATATTTAGGAAAAAAACAAGAAAAGCCTATTCTTGAATACAAACACTTTTAAGTTCTTAAGCTATGGGAATTTATATATAGCATCTATGGGAGCCTCATACTGCTTTGTGCTAAGAACTGACCACAGGTAACTTATTACGAGTGAATAGTTTATCAAGAGCTTGTATGACTTACCTGTGAAACTTCAAAATCTGCCTGGAGATTTCCAGATGTTAACCCACTCAGGAGGACAATTTCATTCTCTTTTGGCTGTTGAACATTCATGGAGCTGATAAGTTTTGGAAGATCTGGTGAAACGTTGACCAGTTTCTGTAGGACAAGGATCTTTATTAGTTTAGATGATTTATTTTCACTTCCAAAATACTACCCCAAAACTACTTTCCTTGCAAAAATAATATATTCATATCAGTACTCATAATAGAGATTACTTAGTCTACTAAGATTGTTACTAGGTGAGATTGTGTAAAGTTGAAGCATAAAGGTTTAGATTGGAACAGAAAATTTCCCAAGCATAAAGATTTAAACATTTTTCAGTCCTAAGTTTCCCAAAGTAAACACTTAATGTTATTGTGACACCAGAGGAATACATAATAGTTTGGGAATGCTTTTTCCTTTTAAGTCCTTGGATAAGAGACTCATTGACTCATAATCATATGTTCTAATAAAACCTATAATAACATCAATAATAAAATAAATCACTAGCATTGCTTTTTCTGCAATATAAGTCACCATATCCAGGACTGTACATATGTTACATCACTACATTCAATTCCTACAACACCCCTATATGAATTAGGCACCACTGTTACTTTCTTTTTACACATAAGTAGCCTGAGACCCAGAGAAGATTAATATCCTGAACAACTTTATGTAGCTAAATCAGCTTACGTACGCCCTTGGCAAAGCAGGAGACTGTCTCAAATCACTCATAAAGTCTTTAAGAACACTGCTATTTTTTTGCTTTAGTCTTTTTATTGTAGTAGACATCTATACTTTTTTTTTACATTTCAACAAAAAGAATTTCAAAACCTGAGAACACAAGTGGAGAATACTAAGAAATTCATACACAACTCAGATTAGTTAGAACTACATATTTACATATGCATTTTACTCTAAAAATGTAATTTTTATAATATTACTACGTGTCCATTTCACATATATTTAAAAATTAAAATGTCATCTATTTGCATATTTAAATACTGTAATAGCTGTTCAAAAGATTACCATGGAAACATTTTTGTTTCCATGGAAATCACATTAATCGAAGAGATAAGAGTAGGAAAAAATGCTGTTAAGTTATAGGGCATCTTTTCTATGTCATAAGATTTGAAGGAAACACACAGTTCTTAAGATGCCAACTTGCTTTCTTCCTTCCTCTCTCTCTTTAATGGCCTCTGCACCGTAATTCCATCAAATGAAATTATGTGTACAATTTCCTTTGAATATCTCGCCGTACTGCACAGGTAAGTGATATTTGGAGTTCAGTGGAAATCTATAATAAATAATCTGCATGGGCAATTGAGTTTGAGAAGCTTCAGGTGCAGCATTATCAAGAAAAAAACATTATAGGAGTGAGTAATTTCAGGTCTCCTGTACTGTATGACAATCAAGCTGCATATGGTGTGCTATTATACATTAAACATTAAACAGTGCTACACCAAACAGTGAAATCAAACCATCTTCATCTGAGGGCATGAAATGATAATCGTAGCACACCAATTATTTCTTCCCACTGTACCCACAGCCTCTGGTTTCAAAGGACTGAGTAGATCTTCAAGTGTTTACGTATTGCCAAGGATTTACAACAGGATCCTTGCAACCTTGGATGAGCTTGGAAAATTTAGCTGTTGCAGAATGCAAAAAGTTTGGATCCCAGGTGACCGTAGGGCTGGGAAACCGAAGTTAGATGGAAAACATTTGATGAAAGTAGCAGGAAGAAGCAAACCTCATAGCCAGAGGATGGGGCTGACCGGTATCAAGTTTTGTAAAAACCTCGGAAAAGTCATTGCAGACAGGATGGGCTATGATGAAACCTTCTAATTAAAGAGTCTCCTACAAAATGAGCATCATTTACAGTGAAATCAGGTTGGTTCTCTCATCAATACAGCTAGCCCTAGACGTGAGCTCCTGGAGAGCTCAGTTCTCAGTGTTACCTGCTGTAGGTGCTCCGTGCTGCACGCATCCTTGTTTACATCCAGGTTCACAAAGCAGACCTGGGAAAGAGGGCAGGTATCATCATCAATCAAGTGAGAAATCTGGTGGCCTTTTTGAGGAAAGCAGATACTAGTTTGGGACAAAGGACTTGAGAGTTGTACACATTTTGTGTAGTTGATCTGGCACAGAAACAGCCATCTTACCTTTGGGCTTCTGTAAAAATCTACCAACATCCTATTCATAATAGCCACTGAACCCACCAAATACCCTCTGCCTCATGGCAGGACAAACAAAACAAAGCCTCTCTATATGAGAGCCAGTGTTAACAGTCCCAACAAAATTTTCAGGTTTATAAAGCGTTGTTGAATCTCATGAAATAAGAAAAAGACTTGTAATACTCTCAACCTCTGTTTATAACTGCAACAAACACTTCTTGCAGTTTCCCTCTTTCCTCTCATTTTCTGCTCCCTTTCGCCACCCACTTTTCATATCATCTATGATAAATGGATTTCTCTTTGTCTCATTGTTTGAGTTAATTTTAACGTATATAATCTTGCAGAGTTTGCCTCATTTTTAGCTATCTTAAATAAATGTTTTAATAAATAAGAGTGCAAAGATAATAGTCCCAGTATTATATAACAATTCAGAGCAACAATATAATACATCACATAGGTTAAAAAAAAAAAAGAAAAGAATCTGCTACGGTCATTCAGATGGGGATGGGGAAAAGAAAATTTTAAGAAAAGTCTCAAAGGGGCAAGATATGCTCTTGAGCGATGAATAAGATTTTGATGGGGAGGGAGAGCGGTGGATGTCCCCAGTAGTTCAGATAGCATGAGTGATGATTGGAAGGTAGAAAGTGCAACACACTGTAAAGAAACAGGGAGAGAGTCGATTGCAACACAGGCCTGGAGAAAGAAAAGTGTCAGAAACAGGTCTTGAAAGGTTCATGTCAAATGAGGTAATGCAAATACAGTTTTACAGTAGTTTGCTAAAAATCATCCAGACGTTTTTATTCTTAACAAGTTGATCTGATCATAAAAAACTGAGGACATTAATTATCTGGGTATTTAGTCAGATGTTTGGACTTAAGTAGGCGCCTCCAAGCATATGGGGCCTTTTGATTTCAGTTAGTCGTTTGAGGTCATTGTTTCTTAGAGTCCATTCTTTTTCTTTTTGAGGTTAAAAAAGAACCATAATTAAAAGATTTTTGGGAAAAATTTAAAGACTAAAATTGTTATATATTGCTGAAGGGCAAAGATCACTAACTGTTTTACTCCCAAATATTGGGAGATTTCTTCCATTTCCTGGTTCACAGTATCATTGCAGTGCATCCTTAGGGAACAGTATCTGCTTGTTAAGAAAACTTGATGGTGGGGGGAGGCTATAGCTCAGTTGTAGAGCCTGTGCTTAGCCTGCATGAGGTCCTGGGTTCAATCCCCAGTGCCTCCATTACAATAAATAAATAAATAAATCTAATTACCCCTCTAAAAAGAAATTTTAAAAAATTTAAAAAGAATAACTTGATGGGCATTTGGAGTAAAGAAAGGCATGAAAATCCACCCACATTCTCATTCAGAGGTTCTCTTCCTTTGGGTTAATAAGGTGGGTAGATAAGGAGGATTTGGGAATGAATCCTGTCTCAGACAATGCAAATGGGAGTATAAATAGTGTTGTGCTTAGAAGGTGTTCATGACCTAGAGCAGTTTGAGAATATTCATATAATGATAGTAAGTTTGCCCTTGGAAAATTGGTTCAGTCTCCATTAGCACTCAGGAACTTTTAGTTCTATGTGGCTGGGACGGAAGTTACTGAATTGGTTAAACAGGCGATTTTCCATTCACCTTAAAAAAGGTGCGTTTCCTTGCCCCTGGGCATGGCAAAGCTCTTATTGTCTTATTTCACAGTGGGAGATGGCAAAGCAGAGAGGCCAAAGAAAAGCATCTATAGTAACTATTTCCCTGCCCTCCCGTACTGTCTTTAGTTTCTGAAGACGAACATTTTTCATTAATTTTGTGCTACGGTGTGAAACTCTGCCTATATTTGGAGGAAACCCTCCACACTTGCTAGCTGGGCCAAGACCGGGATAAAGCAAGACAGAAACCAACCACTTGCTTCTACTTAGCGGATGTATCTTTCTATATCTTGGTGGTGAGGGAGGATCCAGGTTTTTTGGGCCTGATGTCCATACGATTTTGGGAGAACTTCTTTAAGAAAAAAATGATGAAATTGAAAATTCTAAATTAGATGTGAAAGTGAATATTTATTTAGAAGGAGAAAAGAGTCACAATGAGTCTCAAATTTAAAAGGACTGACAAATACCACAAACATGAGAACTTCCAGAAAGATGGTATTTTAATCAATAAACTGCCCAGTTCACCTTCATTGTACTTTCCCCTACATTTTTGGCTCCATATTCTGATCATCTTTTTGTATGAAAGCAGTCTTATAACATCATTTTCTCTAGAGAGAATAGGAAGCAAATTCGGTCTTACTCTGACACTATTGATTACATTTTTTCAGCTTCATAAACTTTTATTGCCAATATCTTATACATTTTCCAAGTTGTCAAATTTAGTAGGAAGCCACTGTATAATTTCTTTATGAAATTTATTATATTTATATGAGTTGTTATAGGTATATCCATTACTCGTTAATACTTTATAAGTTTGTGCTCTACAAACATAAAAATCTAGATAAATGCTCTTTTGTTAGATGCCTATTTAAAAAGAAAAAAAAAAGGTTCATGGTGAATTTATGATTTTCAATGCTGTATTATCGAATTTCCCACCAGGAGGTAACTTCTGTGTTGAGCAGGCACCAATGAGAACCCAATCTTGTATTTATAATTTCACATGTCTGATGACTAGAAGAATTCTCCCCGGACTAACTCCTGGCACACAGACCTTGTTTTCTTTCCGCTACTCATCTGTTTCTGGTATTGGAGATGGTGAGGCAAGCTCGTGTCGTGAAACTGCCTCTGCCTTGTCACCGTCATGTCTGGGCGTGGCTGTGCTGCCGCCATCGAGATGAGCATTCCTGCAAGCCACTCCTTCCGGTGGATGGCCAGCAGCCACTTAATTGTATCTCAAGCCACATAGATGTATCTTATGTGCACACAGACCCACTCAAATCCCCCTTAAGCCAGACCCTACACGTGCCTGTGGTCACTCTGAGGACCCCCTTCATGAGAAGAGGTAAGATGCAGTGGGAGTCTGAGCAGAATGAGACAGTTGCCATTCAAATGTCTTCACTTTGAAAATTACACAAATGAAATAAGCATGTGAGCACCTGGGAGTGGGTCCTGTGCAGCCAAGGAGCAATGAATTTCAAGCTTCGATAGTTTCAAAATACATCCACTTGGTGGTGAAATGGTCTCCATGATGGATGCTCTTAGCGTATGTTCCCTGTCTATGACAGTGTGCTGTTGACTCGAGTTATAGCCATCCGCACGGATGCTGAACTCTAAGTGGAGGGGGAAGACAAGCCTCCGTCCAGAAGAGCTGGGGAATGGTGGGCACGGGGGGCGGTTTCTGTAGGTTGATGGGGGCAACTAAGTGCACTACATCTCCAAGGTGCATGGCTTGGTGCTGGTGCTGGGAAAACAAATGGTACGAAGTATTGTTCTTTCCCTCAGAGAGTTATGGTCTGCTGGAGGCAGAACACATCCCTAAACTGATGGAGAGCATGGAAGTGTGATGGAAGTGACCAGCCTGTGTGCTGGTGAAGGGAGTTGGGAAAAAGGGATCAATCACAAATGACATCTTGGATAAGCTGGATTTGAGGTAAACTTGGAAGGCAGACTGGACACATTTAAAATTGGAAGAGGGAAAATGGCACAAACAATAAATGGATGATTTTTCCCTGATCAGCACCTGTTGAGTAAAGGTAAGAGGCTCTGTGCTAAGCACAGGTGAGGACGGGGAGAGGACAGAGGCTGTGGCGTCTAAGGCAAGAGAAGCTTCCTAGAGGAGCTCCAGAGCGAGATCAAAGTTGGTGACAAGATGCCTTCTTTGTGCACAATAAAAGACTCTACAGCAATTCATCAGGTTTTTTAAAGAGCTGAATGAAAGAGGAAATCATAATTTAATGGTACACTTCCTGTGCAATAAGAATTGAGGGAGATCTATGGGTTACAATTAGGTATTTCCACAATAATTGTTACAACTGCAATAAATATTTGCCTTATTTATTGCAAAGTTTTTTGTCAATAAGGATATAAGGGAATAGAAGGAGAAGTTATAGGAGAATTAACTGGGTTAATGTTAATCCAGCTATTGGTATTATTTAAAGTACATAGATTGGCTTCTTTGTCTCATGAATAAGGCTTTGCTAAAACATAGCAATAGGCAAAAAGTTGAGAACTGGTAAACACTGGTAATAAATACAGATAAAAGATATTCATGTTTTTCTTGGAATGAAAGCTCCTTTCTCTTCACGTAAAATACATTCCACATCGTGTCTGCACACATCTTCGTGCAGAGCATCGGTAGATAAACTCAGCCGAAGCAGATGGAAATGCATCATCCTCGCCGAGAGAACACAGACACTTCTTTTCTTGCCTCCTTTACAAGACTGATTTTGTGGTCGTACGTAACTTTTAAATTCAAATACCTCTCTTCTGCCATTTTTATGGCTTTAAAATTAAATGCTGTAAAGATAAGTACCACTGAGAAAATGATGCCACTTTATGATTTTGACTTTTAAATGGTCTGAATAAAATATGCTTCAAAGGTGTTTATATATAGTAAGACTTTTAATGTTTGTAGGCAATATACTGTTTTCTCTGTTTAGCATTATGGATTATTTATTCAAGAGATCTCAAATATTTATTTTACTTATAAGTCCACTTTCACAAGTGGATGACCATGCAGGCATCTTTAGCAATAAAATTTTACTATGACACTTTATTAGACAGTGATATGATATATTTTGGTGAAAAGCTACTGTGAGAAAGAGGTTAACCTTAAACACTAGCAAAACAAGAAAAAATAAATAATTTTAGTTGGATTATAATTCATAGCCACTTTTTTGAGTTAACTGTATCTAATAAATAGTT